CGGGAAATGTCCCTGGCCCAGGTCAGCGCTTCCCGCCCGGCTGCCTTCTACAGATCTGTTCAGCTTTCCCAATAAAAGGTTTCTTTGCCCGTTTTTCCCCCGCCTCTTTCCACCCAGCCCCCACTCGCCGTCCCCCCGCTCCCCGCACTCTGTTTTTCTCTCGGGATTGAGAGGCAGGAGGAGGTTTTCGCTGATAGGCTGCGCCCGCCGTCACACAGCCCTGCCGCCCTCTCCGGGCTGTGAGTGGAGGTGTAACCCAGGCTTCCGCTCTCGGGCTCGGCTGCCTGACTGCATCCGTGTTTGCTCTTTAGGATCCAGGTTTCTGTTTGTTTCTGTTTTCCGGATTAGGGTTTTTGGGTCTTCTTCTGTGTTTGTCTGACGCTAATCCAGGTTTCATAAGGGAAAACTGTTTTTTTCTGGTTCTTTTACCGTAGGTGGCTTGAACGACAGAGTCGGTCCTGGATGTTTGCAGCCTTTTGCTTCAGCTGGCAGAGAAGAAAAAAGGTGGACACTGACCTGCAGCAGTGGCTTACTGTGAACGGGAAGAAATATCGGACACTGTTCTGGGATTATCTGCGTGCTGCGTCCTGAAAAGGCCTCTGAAACAATCAGTAGACATCTGGGAAGAGAATTGAGGAAGTCGCGAGGTTTTTTCTTCTAGCAGTGTCGAGCACATAACCCTTGGATTCTTTTGTCCGCATGGCATGGAAACATAGCTAAATTTATGAAGTTCTGAATATTTCAGCTGCCAAAATAAAGTGCTTTCCTCTTTTTACATGCAGTTTTTCTTCTTGGCAACATTCTTTCTGAGTCAGAGGAATAACCAGTTATGTTAACTGGCTCCAGGTTAAATGTGGCCTGAGTCACTGTGGAAACATTGCTGAAAAGTTTCATGGCAGATTTTTTTTCCCCCTTATTTCATTTTTTTCGATTTTCTGACATTGTCTTTTCTCATTTTGCAGTGAGACCGATTTTATAGATGAAGACTTTAACAGATGTTTGTTTATATTTTTTTGTTTTGTATTTTATTTAATATTTTTGTTAAAAAATAGTCTTGCCAATAAGCAGTATGGAGGTATCCAGGTAACTGTTGACACATGCCTTTGCTACCGGAAGGTAGGAAATGTTCTGCAGTTCACATGAAATTTCACATGTGAAATTTGGGTTTTTGGCCTCAAAGTTTGTGGAGTAAAATGTGTATTTATTTCACTTGGAGCTCATGCTGCGTATAGAGGAATCTACATGGAATAGACAAGGGAAGAACCTGTCAGAGAAAATAAAAGGTTTTTAAGACAGACGTTGGCAGACTTTGTAAATAGCCTTGCAGGATCTGTAAGCGAGAAGGATGGGTAGCTGATTTCTGTGAGGTCAAATCTATGTCAAACTGCTGCGAATGTAGTATCAACGGGAACTCGGGATATTATCTCAAGGAAAACAAACTGGAAAAATATAAATCACGCAGTACTAACACCTTGTGTGGTCCTCTTGGATTAGGTAAGTTTTGTAGTGTTCATAAATCAATTTACACTTGAAAAAAAATTTTATCAGTAGAACAGTTAATCCAACAATTTTTACTATTTAGAGGTTTTTTGGGGTTTTTTTTTGTTTGTTTTTTCAGTTTTTTTTAAATGTTAGATGTTGAAGCTTGTTAATTTTTACTCCCTGGCTTTTATAATTAATAGAATAATTCCTTAAGTATTTTAAGAGTATAGGTACAAGGAGAAACATATACGTAAGAGTGTGATTTTTATGTGAGATTCAAATGTAGCTTATCTGGACTAAATTCATAAGGAATTTAGCCTTCATATTAATGTTGTAATTTCAGCAATGAATGTTATATTCTTTTGACCACGTCTTCTGGATAGCTTGCATGTGTCAGTCCTTCTTTTTGTGTTATATGTGCTTGCAGCATCAAGGTAGTAGTGATATAGAGGGTTTTTTACTCTTTTGGTTTTTTTTTCTTCCCACTAGTCTTTGTGACTTACGAAAGCCAGAGGTTTTTTTTACCGAAAGTTATTTTACTGTCTATGCAGGCTAGATTTTTTCTGAGTTGATATTTTGGGATTGACTTAAGTGTGTTTTTCTGTTCCGAAATGGGAATGAATTAGTCTGCCTGGTCTGCAAGTATAGCTCTTCAAAAAAAGTCTGTCTCCTTGGAATAATTCAAAATTAAATATAGTGGTAAATTGGCTTATCTTCCTTGTTATTTTTAGATGTATTGTAGTTTCCTTTATCCCACAGTGATTAAATATTTTTTAATTTTGGCGTTGATGTGTTTGTAATAATTTTTCGTAGGTTTGCATTCAACTGAACTGCTACTGCCTGAAAGAAAATTAAGATGGACAGAGCAACTTAATTCAAAAGTCAGTGGTAATTTTACTGAAGTTCTCTATCCCCTACACCACCCTGATGATTCATAAGGCTTTAAATGATTAAAGTGTTATTGGGTAGACTTTAAACTGAGCGTCTGGTAGAGGTTATACATTTACCTCAGTTGTCACTCTTTAAAATATTTTTGAGAGCTTCTACGGTTCTAAAGTATTAGTAGTAGTGAACTAATGAAAAAAGATTTTCTCTGAGGATAGTGCAAAAATGTTTGGGAAGATTGCTTGTGTTAAAACCTTGTAGAAAAAGTGTAGTTAAGCACGTGAAACTATTTAAAAATTAATGCAGTGTATTTTAACTCCTGTAGCTTGTTATTTTGACTACTAATGAAAGACTTGCATCTACATACATTTTGTAAATTCTTGGTCTCACTAAAGTTCTTATCTATGTGATGTCAGTATTGTCGTCAAAGGTTGAACCAGCTTCAGGTTTCTGCTTTGGATGGTCTTACTATTTTGTTATTTTCACTTCTGTTTCAGTTTTGTTGCTTTGAAAATTTGGAAACTTTGGAACGTGAGTGGGGGCTGTGTCTGTAATCTCTGGCTATGTGGCTAATCTATGGCTTGTGGCTCTTCTGTATTGAGTCTAGGTGTGGCTGGGATTGAGTAGTGAGCTGAACCACTTGGTTAAGGAACCAAACCAACAGAAAAGAGTGATCTTGTATATTCCTTTACTTGTATGAATATGGTTTTTTTTAAAGCATTTGCTAGATGGAGAGTTCGGGTGGGAATGGCCATTTCATTTGGTTGCTGTCTGTTGTATGCTCTTGAGAGTAATAGAAATATTCACTTCTTAACTTGCAGAAAAAGTGATGCATTGCTTGTTTTTTCCAAGCTATTAATTTTCAATGCTGTGAGATAGTTTTATTTCTTTTCAAGACACTCTTACTGAAATCAAGGACCTATGTCTTCCACTTACTATTTTTGGTGATGTCTTTTTCTAGACTCTTCTGGAAGTTTTGAGGAGTTCGCTTTTTAGATTAATTAAATTAATTAATTAAATGAATTAAATTCATTAATTAATTAAATCTTTGCACCTCTCTGTTTGCTGGTAGGATAATTTTTTTATTCCTTTCACAGTACTTACACTTGGGAAGTTGCAGTGTCAGTTAGGGGGAAGGAAGCACCCAAGATTCATGAATGCTTGTGTATAGTTGAAAGGGACAACAAAAGTTGGAGGGTTCACAAAAAATCACCAGGTTTTATACATAAATTGCACACTTGGCATTGAAATGGGAATGTCAGTCTCTGGCCTACTATATAAACACACAGCTTACATTGTAGGGGCAGGGTAGAAAGGAAGAGATGAATTAAGGAGAGGGAGAGTGAGAAAAAGAAAGAGAGAGATCACTAGATCTGGTTGGTCTGGCTTATGGGATATCCTGGATTGTGCAGCCAGGGCTTGGTGGTGTGCCTCTCTATAGATAGTTTTGTTGCCCTGAAGGTAAGGTTTTAATTTTCTATGTAGATCAGTTACCTTGCATGGTCCATTCTTTGAGGCCTTTCTGGAAATGGCTTGTAGGGTTTTTATGGGGGTCCCTGGTGGTCTCATGCCCCTACTGCATTGGCCTTTGGTCAGAAGTTCATGCCTGCTTCTGTGCTGGTGCTGTCTTTTGTTTGTTGTGTCTCCATGGACTAGAATGAGGCTGTTTGTCCCAGAAGAGCGCTGTCCTACCTCTGTGTGGCCCCTTCTCCAGCCACGTCCCATTTACCACCAACTGGCTCTGCAGAGCCAGTGTTCAAGATACCCAGCTATTGGTGTTTAAGATATATATGTTACCCCTTTACCATCAGGGGTTCTAAAGAAGTGTATTTTTTTCTGATCTGTGTGCATATGTGTTTGACAAGGATTCAGGAATGTTTTACAGCTGTGCCCTTGTACCCTAAAGGAAATTCATACCTACTGAGGAGAGAATGCCAAGCATGCTGGTCCACTTTAATTTCTTCCCTAGATTTTTGTTTTCAAAGTGCTTACAATGTGCTGTTAAATGCTTTGCAGATATCTATGAAGAGAATGTCCTTGCTCCCAAGAGCTTATACTTTAAGCCTTGATGTAAACAGAGCTTTTGTAGTGGGATAACTGTCAGCAGGTTGTCTTTTACTGATGTGTTTATTCTGGTAGGTTCATAAAATGGGTACGTTTTTATTGGTTAATTCTTTAGAATGGTGCAGGTTGCTGTACTATGTGAAAAAACTGTCAGTGGAGACTTTTGAGAATAAGTACCCTTTAATCTTGCAGCAAAGCTGAAACAGAATTACAGTGGTAAAATGATTGAGTCAAATTGTGCAGATATTTAGTGTTATACAAGTCAATGTACTTTGTGCTGCTTTTATTTTGTCCTCCCTTCTAATGAGGTTATTCTGTTTAACATGTGTGGATAAAACTGTTACAGTGACAGTTCACGAATAACATCTGAGGAAGTTGCTTTGATTTCTTTTTTTTTTTTTTTTAGTAGCAGGAATAAATTCTGTCCTGCAAAGACAACTGTTTGCAGACCTCATTATAAACAGATGTGAATGAAATTTGGCATGCTTTTTGTTATGTTTTTTCTTACTCAATGTGTTTGAGTAACTGAACATGGTAACTGATGATAATGTCCTATGTGGTGCTCTCAATGCTTTCACAGTCTCCTTCCTTCATGTCTTGGGTAAGCATAGTCAGGGAAACACCTGAAATAGAGAGTTGTCTATCTGCTTTATATACTCAGCACTGGGCAAAACTTCTACCTTTTTCAACTGCTATTTCTTCCTTGTGATAATTCCAAAAGTGCAGAAGTATTCCTGGTGAATTTCCTACATAACATACGCTGACTAGTGATTAGTTCAATTACAGTGATGTAATTCACTTCACTTTCAAATTTGAATCTTGTTAAAGGGCAAGAAATGAGCATCTATCAGGCTTTTGCTAAATGGTCATGTACCATATAGTGGAATCATTACACACCAAAGTGTGTTAGAGTCTCAAGTAGGAGAAACCTGGCTTTTGTTTACCTTCAAATGTGAAGTTATTTCATGTTATGAAATACTTCACTTTTTTTTTTTAATCTACATTTTGGTATGGTGCAAAAACAAAAAGTTAAATAGTCATTGTTTTGTTATCTGAAAGACTTAGATGATGAAGGTGATTTCTTTTTGAGTTTTCTATATTTTTGCTAAGTCTCTGTAAAGGTAAGTGTTAAGTCTGTGGCTGTACTAAAGAATGCGTTTGGTTTAATTGGTTAAAATTAATTTAATTGGTTAAAAAACTATGTTTTGACGCTGTATACTCTTCATACCTTAGAGTAAATGTTCAGATCTAACAGAGGACCTTGTTCCTTCCTTAGTGCTCTGCAGGAAACCTTAGATCTTACACTTGTTTTTAAAACATGAAGCAAGAAGGTAAATTATAAATTTTATGGATATCTTCTTTTGTTCTTCTATATTGTCCAGTGGTAGAATATATATGAGGACAGTTCTGTATTGGATGGTGGGGACATGAGATTTTGCTTGCTGTGCAGTAGCATGATTGACAAATAAGAGGCTGCTGTTGAACTGTTTCAGAAGTTTTTGTTTAACTGGTGGGAGAGACCTTCAGAAGTTCAGCTCCCTTTCCTTTCTATTAAAGGTATGAATCTTAGGCAGTAAATTTTAGAGAACCAAAACAGTTGAGAGAATTACCTAACCTAATCTTTTTTAAAAATAGTTTTTCATTGAAATGCTACAAGGGGTGACATGACACTCTTTCCCTTCAGAGTGTTAAAAGTTTGACTGTAAAGATGTAAACTTACTCTGTTGTTGTGGCTGTTCATTTTAACAGAGAGGAACAAAAGAAGAATCTTCAATTGGAGTGTTTGTCATACTTTTGTAGCAATTTGTGATCAGTAGAAATGCTTCCAGTTTTGAAAACTCATAAGGCTTGTGTAAGGGTTTGAATATTTTCTGTTTTATTAACATGCAAATTTTGGATAGCAAAATAACTTGAAATCAGCTTATTTTGATTTGTTGGAACTACAGGAGTTACAGAATAGTAAGGAAGATACCTAATAAACTGTGTCTTCAAAAGGGGAATGAAAATTGAGATTTACAGATTTTAAATAGAAGTATTGTTTAGACCTTACATTTAGCAGCTTGAGTTCAAATTAGTGCTTCTCTTAACTAGAGATAGCAGAGAAGGATAACAGAGAAGGATCCAGTATACTTGGAAATTTTTCTTTTGACAGAACTTCACGTCAGAAGAAAAAAACATGGGTGGTGTGGGTTATTTTGAAGGTCTGCTTAGTTTGAAAATGTCCTGAGTGATTCTGTATACGAAAAAAGAGTGTGTAGACTGATGGCTGGGTCTTGTGCACATAGTTTCTTTGCCTAATTCAGACTATTACTTGGTAGTTTCCCTTTGGCTCATGATAAAGGGTTGAAGCCAAAATTTGAAGCTGGCTCATGATGGGAACACTGAAGGGCCGGTATTCTGACTACCTTGTTGGACCTTCTGAAATCCATACATGTGCTCTTGTTTGTTTTCTGATGAAATAAGAATTTGATATGTATACTGGAGCTCATTATCAAGGAAGCAAAGCAGTTAGTTGCAAATTGAGACACTGCGTATAACCTTTTCTTTCCTGTGCTCTCATAACAACACTATAGTGTGCTTTGATTATCACCACTTGCAATCTTCTTGTATCCCATTTATAAATACTATGCTAAAAACTGCATTGACAAAGTCAGGGTCATTTGTCAGATGTGTGTAGTTGGAAAGTGGAGTTAAGGGTCCCGTATGTAATTTGTGGTGTGCTGTACTTACTGTAATAATAATAATAATCTGTGAGGCGTTAGATAAAAGCTCGAAGGAATGTGCCATTTAGATATGCATACGTACTAATTTGAGATTCCCTTGGAAAATATAAATGTGTATATCATCTCAGTGCTTTTAACATTTATTCTGTTCAAGGTTTTCTCAAATCAATTGACTGAATTTCTAAACTGGTTTTCACGGAGCATCAAGA